CCCCCCCAGTGTAAGGTCCCTTTTCATATTTTTGCCTTTTTGGATGTGAAAATAAATAAATAATTCCAAAAGTCAATAGTGGACAACATGTTAATTGTTAACAATAAATTCATTCGTAGAATTTCTGCTATTCATTTGCCTAATTCCATTCTGGCCAACGCTTCTGACCAGCCGTTTTCCACATTGAAATAACTTTGTGTGAAAACATTTGAAAAATGGAAAATTTTGATCTACAGAGAAGTAAATAATTTTCCAAAAGTGGAAGTACTGCTCTGTGTGATAAATTTACATCCATTTGTTGGTGATTAAATATATAGATATGGTTGTATATAGATTAGATGGGTTTCGCTAAGGACTACCTGCAGTACTTTAGGTGGTCAACCAGCAATTATGATAGGTTCCAGACGGCAAGTGAGAAAATAATGTTAAGTTGTTAACATTTCTGAATTTGACCATCATCGCTGCCCTATGAAGTATATTTATTAGCTAAACCATGTGTATATAACACACTTGCCGACTGGAACTTCTCCAGGTCCCCCGCGAAATATGTTCTTGGCACATCCTTAAAAGAGGCCCTGGTGATGTTACAACATTAGCTGTGATAGCATGGGCGTACCGGAAGGAAAAATTTAGGGGGGCGGAAAAAAAATTGCCCGACTTTTCGGGATTGTGCCCGACTAGTACCGAAAATTTTTTTCCGGAAAAGTTATTTTGGCGTAACGTAGCATTTTCATTTTATCATTATTCTGACAGCACTCGGCTCACAAGACAAACGTTTCTAAGTTTGGGGCTGTGCAAAAGATTACCGCGTCCGCAAATACAGATTGATTGTAGTTAAGAAATAAATATAATACAAACATTATTAATAATCTTTCAGTTGGAAAAAGTTGGCCAGAAAACTAACCGTTACAGTAAACCGAGCAAGTACAGTTTCTCTGTCACTGCAGGAACAACAACAACTCGAACTTCGTCTGGTGGGGGAAGTAACTCACATAGTGTCAGTGCTAATGTTGGTCTCAACTTGAAGAGTGCGTTCTCAGCTGGTCTAGGATATTCACATACAACATCGTATGACTGGAGTCAGAGTTCTGCTACTGCCTTTGCCAAGACAATCACACATCAAGTGAGTGTTGATGTCCAACCTGGAGATACAGTGACTGTGTATCAAGTCATTGGTGTGTGTGATAACAGTGATGGCAACAAATACAGAATTGAAACCAACAGTCTTGTGGTGGAAGGGAAAAAATCTAAGGAAACTATTGAAGTTTAATAATTGAACTTGAAATAAATATGAAATGTGTGAAAGAAATAAGAAGCATTGAATCAATAAATTGATTTATCTCATTAAAGTTTTTTGTTTGTATGTTTCGATTACGCACTTAACTGATTTGAAATGAGTTCGGGTAATTGTCGAGTGTCGAGGGTGACAGGTCGAGGGTCGCGACTCGAAAGTCGATCGGTCTAGGGTCAAAAGTCGAGGTCGAGGGTCGAAAACATTAAATGCCAAGTTATACGAGGCATTTTGTTGTATGTTCCAACATACAGTGATGCTATTACCCTGGTTCCAGAGGCTCTTTGGAGAAATACTAGAGGATTGTGGTCACTAAACACCTCAAGTGGAACAGAAGTTGAAGAAACGCGGACTTCGAAATGCTGAAGCGCGAGAACAAGTGCAAGACATTCTTTTTCGATCGTCGAATAATTTCGCTGGTGTTTGTTGAACTTTCGAGAGAAATAACATATCGGGTGATCAACTCCACCTTGACCTTCTTGTAATAGAACTGCACCGGCTACATCACCCGTCACGGTTAAAATTTGGTGCCGACAAAACTGGGGCATTTTGTAGCATAGCTTTGAGTTTCTCGAATTGTCCAAACAAATTTCATATCCTTGCGAAGTAACTGCGTCAAGGACTCAAGGGTTCCGTGATTGATGAAAAGTTTGGGCAAAACTTTCGATAATAACCCGCCATTCCGAGCAATCGCATGACGTGTTTCTTATTCGTTGTAGGCTGTGAGAAATCCGCAATCGCATCGACTTTGGCGTTGACGGGTTTGACTTGGCCTTGGCCAAGTATGTAACATGGCCACAACCGAATTCACTTTTGACTAAATTGATGGTTAACTTGCAGGGTGCGATAATTCAATATTTTTAGCCGTACCTGACTGGTACTCCGACAACTTTTGCAGCGTACCTGATCTGATACAAACTTAAGAGTCAAGACGTACCTAAGACTACTTCCGAGTATGCGTTTTTATACCTACGTATAGTTTACTAGTCCGCCAAAAGCTTTTGTACAAATGAATCTTTAACTATGTCTATAGTATTTGCAGTGTTGTAACGAGTCACCTATAGGTCGAGTCACGAGTCGAGTCACTTAAAGGTCGAGTCACGAGTCGAGTCATTTCAGTTTCTGACTGCGAGTCGAGTCGAGTCAGTGGCTTCACTCGAGTCGAGTCAGCAGTTTCACTCGAGTCAAGTCGAGTCATTGGTTTAAGTCGAGTCGAGTCAATAGCTAGACTTTGAGTCAGGGAATTTGATCAAGTCCACCCACATCCTTGTCCCCAGGGCCTCTCGGCCGCGCGCGTCCTCCCTAGGCCCTGGAACATACGGAACCGGAAGTGCAAGTAAACTTGCAGTAGTTTCTAAAGCGCATGGTCTTGAATTGGGACACTTTAGCACCCGTAACAATTTTCAAAGTGAAGTATTACGAAGAAACGAAGTATTTGCGTTGACATATGTTGATAGAATAATTTTTCCTAGCTAAAACTGCTCAACTTCTGCGAAATAGGATTTCTCTGAGAAGCCAATCAGATCTCTCGCTTTAGTCGCCTAACCCACAGCCTACTTTTCAACGAGTGACCGAGTGAAAATGGCTCTGGGGACGAGAATGGTCCACCTCACGCTTTTTGTAATGGTTCGCTACCTTAGCTTGCAGTTTGAAATTAGTAATCAAATCTACGTTTTAAGCTAATCACTTTAGTCATGTAATAACAGTATCTGGGCAGCCATAGGCTGTACCAATATCACAGTTCTAGTCAATATTAAGTACAACCACATGAGATGTCTCATCATGCCTGCTGATCGAGTGTACGTATATACAACTAGCATAACTTGCAACTGGAGTCAGAATTAACAAAGAATAGACTTTAATTAACCATGCTTTGTAAGTTAATTTGAAATTATATAGCACTTCATAAATACCAAAAATGAAGATAGTCGGTCAGAATTAGCATAAGTACAAAAAATTTTGAGACTCCATTTTAAAAGCTGTGGTACTAGCGTTGTTTCTAAAAACAGAAATGTAATATAGGCATGCCCGTCAGGAATATACTGTATTCTATGCAAATCCCATATATTTTCTGATAAAGTTTCGAAGTTCTCATTGTTCACAGGGCTCATTGTTTTTCCCAAGCAACACAATCACAATAATTTTGATGAATTTATTCTCTACAAGTTGTAGCTGAGTTGACTCGAGTCATTTACGGCAAAATCAGCAAGTCGAGTCCGAGTCGAGTCATTTGGGGCTGTTGACTCGAGTCGAGTCATTTTTCGTTTTGGACTCGAGTCGAGTCGCTGAAAATGGCAACTCGAGTCGACTCAATGACTCGACTCGTTACAACACTGGGTATTTGTACAACATAATATAACAGTTTTCAAAGCGTCGACGTTGTGACTCGAATGCCATCGCTCATTTACAGTGGATTTCCCGAGGGTGCTAACAGTCTGACCTCAGCTACATACAGTGTAGTTTTCCTCATTGGGCCTAAAAAAAACCTGTGGTTCCGGTTTCATATCGCGAAAAAATTAGGGTAGGTAGGTCGGAAATAAAAAAAAAATTTAATATTTTTTTCATGGTTTTAGCGGTTTTTTGCTGGGCGATTTTCAGTAGAGTCCCGACATCAATATTAACTAGAGATGCGTAGTTCCTACGGACGAATTTAGGCAAGTTGGTTCAATAATTATCGTGACAACAGACGCCATTTTGGCACGTTGTACGAGCAGCCCGCAACCATCCGGAGAAAATAGGGTCGCACGGTCAATCGCGTTGAAAAAATAATAGGGTGCGCAGAAAAAAAATAGGGTTGGTCGGGAAACCGTAACCACAGGTATTTTTTTAGGCCTTGGTATAGTATTGACAATTAAGCCCAGGTATCACCACAAAACGATAACGATACGATAACTTGTAAACACGCGATGATTGGTAAAAAATTATGTTGGTGTCCACACTACAACGAAAACGATAAAATTATCGGCGTTTGACGATAACGATTTTAAAATCGCTCACCCGAGCGATTTTTTTTCAGTCGGACGATGACGATAAATGTTTTGATCAAGCTCAAAGATAACCTTTGGGCATTTTTCATCCCAAAATATGTCGGATGCGTGGAATTTACATGCACAGATAAAGTTCTTCACGGTTTTGAATACTTTGGCAGGTTTGCTAGTTATTGCTAGAAGGAAAATGTAAGTACGCGAATAACAAATTTCCGCGTACCTACGTGGTACTTGCCTAAAAACAAAGAAGTACCATGGATTTGGTATCATTGGTGAATGAGTATGATTGTCTTCATACTATCTTAGATAACCATGCACCGATTAAATCCCGGGAAATTACATTGCGCCCTAAGGCACCCTGGTATACTAACGAAATCAATGATAAGAAACGAATTCGGAGACAACTTGAAAGAAAATGGCATAAAACAAGGACGAATGCTGATTGGAATCGCTATAAACAACAATGTTATGCTGTAAATAAACTTATCGACTCCTCAAAATCGGCTTACTATACCGACTTAATTAATAATGGATCATCTGATCAAAAACCCCTTTTCAAGACTGTAAGCAATTTGCTGCATACAAATACGATTATTCGCTATCCATCTTCTCCTGACCCAATGTCACTTGCCAACTCATTTAGTGATTTCTTCACTCAGAAAATTGTTAAAATACGAGGTGATATCGAAGATGAACTCTTGAGTAAAAACATAGAAAATCCTATACCTGATGCTGATTCATGTCCTTATGAATTTCACACCTTCTGAGAGGTCGGAAAAGACGAAGTGCTCCATTTAATCCAACGTATCGCAACTAAATCCTGTTCTCTGGATCCACTCCCGGTGGTCATGCTAAATCACTGTTTTAAAGACATCTTACCCGTTGTAGTTAGAATAATCAACCTCTCCTTGGAAAGTGGTACAATGCCTGACTCTTTGAAGATTGCTGTTGTTCAACCGCTATTAAAAAAGTACAATCTTTCCTATGAAGAATTCTGCAGTTTTCGTCCAATATCAAATCTGAAATTTGTCTCGAAATCTATTGAGAAAGCAGTTGCTGTACAATTAACTGATTATCTTACTGAAAATCATCTACATGAGAAATTCCAGTTTGCTTATAAACCTTGTCATAGTACTGAAACAGCGCTATTGAGGGTTCAAAATGATATCCTTCAAGCTCTAGATAACGGTGATTCTGTTATTCTTGTCCTACTGGATCTGTCGGCGGCTTTTGACACCGTGGATCATTTAATGTTATTAACAAGACTATCGAAACGCTTTGGCATAAGGGGTCGTGTGTTGGATTGGCTTACCTCATACCTTACATCCAGGAAACTGTTTATTCGTGTTGAGGGAACTGATTCGTTATTGAGTGATCTTGATTGTGGTGTACCTCAGGGATCTGTGTTGGGTCCTCTGTTGTATTCACTCTATACTGCCCCTCTCGCGGATGTGGCTAGGCGCCACAATCTGCGCTTTCACTTTTTTTCTGATGATGGGCAACTTTACATTGCATTCAAAACGAATGATCGTGATGATTTAATATCATCTAAGATCCGTATGGAGAAATGTATACTTGAATTGGGAAACTGGTTGATGTTGAATAAATTGAAACTAAATAGTGGCAAAACGGAGCTTATATTAGTCCATCACCCCAGTTCTTATCGAATTGCATTGGTTACCTGTCCAATACCGTATTCAATTCAAGATTATACTTCTTGTCTACAAAGCTGTTAATGATCTTGCTCCATCGTATCTGAAGGAACTTATGCTGTGTCGTACTTCGCAGCGTACTCTTCGATCAAATGGAAATGAATTGCTCCAGATTCCTTATTCTAGACTAAAGACATACGGAGACAGATCGTTCTGTGTTGCTGGACCAAGATTGTGGAATGATTTACCTGTTCATCTTCGGATGTGTGAATCATTAACCATTTTTAAGAAGTTTCTTAAAACATATCTTTTTAACTTGTTTTTAAATAGTGTATGATGTATTCTATAGTTTTAACATTCTTAACACTAGTTTTTAAGATTGGATTTTGTATTACTGTAAAGCGCCTAGAACAGTCTTGGTTTGTGCGCTATATAAATGTTTATTATTATTATTATTATTTATTATCTTCAAAATAGAACGCAAAGTGTAGTAATCGATGGTGTTAAATCTATCTCTAAAGACTTGAGCTGTGGAGTCCCACAAGGATCAGTTCTCGGACCTATATTATATTTACTATACACTTCACCCCTTGGTGATATCATTAGAGGTCATGGTCTTGACTTTCACTTTTACGCAGATGACTCGCAATTATATCTCGCTTTTGAGTCAACCGCTGAAGGAAAAGTGGGAGCACTGGTACAAATTGAAATGTGTGTGAAGGAGATTGATTTGTGGATGGTCAAAAATAAATTAAAATTGAATGGGGACAAGACTGAGTTACTAGTAATCAATGCACGAAATCGTTTATGCCCTGCTGTACACCATATAGAAATATCTAAGTCAATAGTTCAACCAAGTACTTCAGCACGAAACATCGGTGTAACCTTCGATCAACACATGTCCATGGATAAACATATTACCAACATTTGCAAGAACTGTTTTTTCCATTTGAGAAAAATAGCAAGAATAAAAGAGTACTTATCAAAATCAGATATCCAAACCCTAGTTCATGCCTTTATTACATCGAAACTGGATAATTGCAACTCTTTGCTATACGGACTACCTAAATTTCTTATAGATCGGTTACAGAATGTGCAAAACTGTGCTGCTCGTCTGGTGACAGGAAGCAGAAAATACGACCATGTTACTCCATTAATGAAACAATTACATTGGCTCCCCATTAGTCAACGCATCATCTATAAAATTGTTCTTATTACATATAAATCCCTGAATGGTGCTGCTCCACATTACATTAACAATATGCTAAAACCTTACACACCATCAGCAAATTTACGCTCTTCATCCAAGGGACTGCTCACAATACCCTCAGTAAAATTGGTTAACTATGGCGAACGATCGTTCTCATATGCGGCACCGAAACTGTGGAACGAACTACCAGAACATGTTAGAAAGAGTGAGACCTTGCCTATTTTTAAAACTAGATTAAAGACACATCTTTTTAAACAGTGTTATGACTAAGTACTATTTTAACAAGTATTACCAATTTTATAGTATTTTATATAGTTTTTTAATATTGTCAACATTTATAGCATAAAGTAATTTTATATTCATAATGAAAAGAACATATAGTACTTTTAGTATAGTTAATGTATGTATTACCAACCTTAGTATTATGCATCTACTTATATATAGTATATATTTTTAACACTTAATGTTAAGCGCCATTGAGCTACAGGAAATGGCGCTATATAAATGAGTAGTAATAATAATAATAATAATAATAATAATAATAATAATAATAATAATAATAATAATAATAAGTAAAAAGTCGTGGGTAAAAAGTCGTGGGTCGTGGGTAAAAAGTCGTGGGTAAAAAGTCGTGGGTCCTGAAAAAAAAGTCGTGGGTCCCGAATAAGAAGTCGTGGGTCCTGAGAAAATGCTGTGGGTTCCAAGCAAAATATTTCCATATATTTACCTTTCTCCCTTTGGAATGCGTGTTGTTTTTTTCTTAGGCTTTTCCAAATATACATAGTCTTAGAGGCCTTAGAGCGCGTTAAGGCCGGGTTTTTGATATCGGCAGATCGGTTTATAAATATTATAACCAAGTGTGGATGAAACAGTTCATCTTCACGCCCCATAAAGCTCAAATATTTGGATGTTATAATCTTATAGACAGATAAATTAATTACTGTAATTCTTCAATAGGAATATGGCTCAAGGCCAAGGGCCACATGTACGAAAGCTGAATAGTGCTATCCACTAGATATAGTCAAATTTTTATAACCAGCAATGGCATAATATGTTTTCAGAGCTATATATGGAACTGCGGGGTTGTCTGGAAAACGCGTGCACGTACACGCGTACACGTACACGCGTACATGGAAAACGCGTACATGGAAAACGCGTACATGGAAAACGCGTACATGGAAAACGCGTACATGGAAAACGCGTACATGGAAAACGCGTACATGGAAAACGCGTACAATGTTTATTTGTAACGTTAATTAATTAAAACTTGGCGATTTTATTGGAAGTTCTCTTGCAGACCTAGTGATTGTGTCAATGATGGTCAGATCATGGCCTCCGTGAAGGACAACTTCACAGTGGACTACGTAATGTTTAGTACTTTCATTGTGTTCCAACATGCGTCCAGAAAAAGCAGCCGTATTTCCAACCACCTCACGCTATTATCCCATGCACGTAAGATAATGTCGATAATGTCACTTCTCCGCGATGAACATTGGAGATATATTAATCACCACATTCGGAAGCCTCGCAATCCAATAAAGAAACATTTAAAACTATGCACTGATGCTTACAGACTGATTATCTATTATTTTAAATTGTTAAGGTTTTCTTTAGCATATAGTTTATTTATCATTTATAGACCCGAAGCGAGAGGGATTCGGCGAAATATTACCCGAAGTGATGATATTTATTTAATATTTGAAATATCATCACTGAGGGTAATGTTTCGGCGAATCCCCCAAGGGTCTATAAATGATATATTATACCGAAGGTAAAAGACACCACTATAATAAGTTCAGAATAAACTTTAAAACTTGCTGAATATTAACTATAAAGCGAATACAATTTTTAATTTCTTATGTATACCTGTGTTTTGACGTTTTCTCTTTAAAATATTTGAGCATGTATTCTTTGGATTATTGAAGGTAACGTACGCCCTAAAAATTTTTGGTTACAGTAAATCAATAAATCTGCATGTACGCGCCGGTACGAAATTACAAACAACAGCTCGCGAATGCCATGTTCTTTAAGAGTGTGCATGGTATCCTTTCGTCGTGTGTGAGCGTGAGATACTATAATATTCACCACAGTGGATCTCACGCTGCATTGCGAAATCATGAATTTGAGTGAAATACCGTAAAAAAACACATTGTCACGTGTTACGAATGCTGTTCTTTTATAGGACAATTTGAATTTGAGGTATAATATATTTTATTGCTTTTAGTTTACAGTTAACTATGTAGTTTTTTGCTGAATCGTGCACCATAATTTATTTCAATACATCAAAAATAATCCTGCCTCACAACTTGTCCTGGCAAAGTAGGATCATATAAATGTGTTCAGCCCCTTATTCAGCGAATCCTGCATGCTGCCTGGCTTTGATCCCTTAGGGGCGAGGCAGCAATTTCTTTGCGATAGTAACTCGTAGTATATTTTATATATATAGACAGTTAGGCTCTCTGGCTCTGTTGTGTTAGTTTGATCTCATCATGTTATGTCACCATGTCGTGCTACGGCATGCAAAGTTAGCCTAGTTTATACTTACACCTAATTTAATAAGGGTTTGGGCCGGTCATGTCATGTCATGTCATGTCATCTCATGTCATGTTATATATGTTAATATGTTATGCTATATAAAATTACATTAGGTCGCCCTACATCGTCCACAGTTATATAAACTGTCCACAGTTGCTAATGGTGAGCAGACACTGTAGATGCTATATGTACTTGTCGGGGCAATTTTTGACTTTTGCAAGTAAACATGTAAATGGCGTTATGTTTTTCGGTTACATTTGTTTTGTCTTTATGATTAGTAATTAAACTTGGATCTAACCAACATGCAAACTGAGATCCAAGTTTACTATAATCATAAAGACAAAACAAATGTAACCGAAAAACATAACGCTATTTACATGTTTACTTGCAAAAATTGCCCCGACAAGTACATATAGCATCTGTTGTCCTGCTCACCATTAGCAACTGTGGACAGTTATAACTGTGGACGATGTAGGGCGACCTAATGTAATTTTAAATAACATAACGCAACGCAACCCCAAACCCTTATTAAATTAGGTCTAAGACATAAACTAGGCTAACTTTACATGCCGTAGCACGACATGGTGATATAACATGATTAGATCAAACTAAGGGGCCATTCACAAAGAATGTCGAGCCGAGGGGGAGGGAGGGGGATTTGGAAAATCAGGACAAACTCGGACATGGGGGGGGGGATCAGCAATCCGGATGTCCGAAATTTAAAAAAATTCAAAAACAAATTTCTTTTTCCTCTATTTTGAACTCTTGGCATTTTGAACATTTTATAATATTATCTAATTCTTTCCTTCAATACATTTATAGTTATAAAAAAGTTCTAAAAGTAAACTTGACATATACAAGGTTGCGTGAGTTTTAGCGAGGCATGGTGGATGTCCGGGGGGGGGTCACTAATTCGGACAATGCCGGACAAGGGGCGGGAGGGGGGGGTCTGAAAATCCATCATTTGGCCGGACATCCTTTGTGAATGGCCCCTAACACAACAGAGCCAGAGAGCTTAAGTGTCTATATATAAAATATATTATAAATCAAATTCAAATTGTCCTATAAAAGAATAGCATTTGTACTACGTGACAATGTGTTTTTTTACGGTATTTCACTCAAATTCATGATTTCGCAATGCAGCGTGAGATCCACTGTGGTGGATATTATAGTATCTCACGCTCACACACGACGAAAGGATACCATGCACACTCTTAAAGAACATGGCATTCGCGAGCTGTTGTTTGTAATTTCGTACAGTACATGTACGCACATGCAGATTTATTAGGTTTATTAGATTTATGGATATGCCACGCCATATTGACGCCATTTTCACGTCGTCTTTGACGTTCGCGTCCTCGATCTAAATCTGTCTATTGATTTACTGTAACCAAAAATTTTTAAGACGTACGTTACCTTCAATAATAGAATAATCCAAAGAATACATGCTCAAATATTTTAAAGAGAAAACGTCAAAACACAGGTATACATAAGAAATTAAAAATTGTATTCGCTTTATAGTAAATAATTAGCAAGTTTTAAAGTTTATTCTGAACTTATTATCGTGGTGTCTTTTACCGTCGGTATAATATATCATTTATAGACCCTTGGGGGATTCGTCGAAGCATTACCCTCAGTGATGATATTTCAAATATTAAATAAATATCATCACTTCGGGTAATATTTCGCCGAATCCCTCTCGCTTCGGGTCTATAAATGATAAATAAACTATATGCTAAAGAAAACCTTAACAATTTAAAATAATAGATAATCAGTCTGTAAGCGTCAGTGCATATAGTTTTAAATGTTTCTTCATTGGATTGCGAGGCTTCCGAATGTGTGATGTTATATGTAAACAACGAGTTTGAGTGAGTTTCATCAGGGGATCCAAACACGAGAAAACTGTATGAACTGTTGTGTTTTGACTTGAATTTGTAATTAGGATCTCAGTTATTAGATGAAAACCGTTTTTCATCTAACAACAGTGATGGTATATGATTTTTAGCGTGTTTCCTTGCGGTATCCAACCTCAATCATGTGACGAATTAGGGTGAGTTCATTCGCTAATTTGCTCATGAATTATTAATGAGTTTGAGATTAATATATCTCCAATGTTCATCGCGGAGAAGTGACATTATCGACATTATCTTACGTGCATGGGATAATAGCGTGAGGTGGTTGGAAATACGGCTGCTTTTTCTGGACGCATGTTGGAACACAATGAAAGTACTAAACATTACGTAGTCCACTGTGAAGTTGTCTTTCACGGAGGCCATGATCTGACCATCATTGACACAATCACTAGGTCTGCAAGAGAACTTCCAATAAAATCGCCAAGTTTTAATTAATTAACGTTACAAATGAACATTGTACGCGTTTTCCATGTACGCGTTTTCCATGTACGCGTTTTCCATGTACGCGTTTTCCATGTACGCGTTTTCCATGTACGCGTTTTCCATGTACGCGTTTTCCATGTACGCGTTTTCCATGTACGCCATGTACGCGTTTTCCATGTACGCGTGTACGTGTACGCGTGTACGTGCACGCGTTTTCCAGACGACACGGTTGTCGGCCGGTTATGAAACCTGCGTCTATACGTTCTTAGAAACGTCAATCACACAAAAAGTGCGCATCAATCAGAAAGAAAGAGGCTAGAATAGAGAGTATTTATGATACTTTTGACAGTTTAATTTCTAAGCAAACTTCAAGTACCTGGTTCCAATATCAGTTTTATAGATCTTGTGATAAAAGCAACGCGTAGGAACTAACGGTAAACACAGCCATATAAAGACATGCCTACATGCAAAAGACAACTGTGCGAAACTTGGTAAACCGAAAAAGTTCTCGGTTTATTTATATTTTCTGTGAATTCTTATCTCGAATGCTATTATTAGAGATCAGTGAGTGGATTTAACTCTCCAGCTTCGTGATCGCCGCAAGAAACTCACCTGAGTGAAACACAAAATGTTTAAAAATAATTGTTTAAAATTAAATAATTGTTTAATTCTAGTTTGTTTAAAAATAATTGTTTTTTCATGTGAGATTCTACTCACATATTGCCATCAGATTAACCACGTGGGGACCGTGGGGTATATAAAGTTTTTCTTATGAACGCTTCATCATCCGATCTCTCCGGCTGCTTTTACAACTAGGAACGGGGAATCGTCTGCGGAGTATCAACGTTTTTAATATAGATCTCATGACTTGTTATCGGGGGCCCCCCTTATCGGAAACCCCACTTTCCCCCAACCCGGGGAAACATGGAGGAATAATCTTTTTTGAAAACTAAGCAAGAAAAGGCCAGGAGTAAGCAAAATAATCAAGAGCCATTCCGCCCCGATTCCATGCAGTCCCGCGTTCATTAGATAGCCTCGTACAAAAAGCCCTAATGCTGTCCCAAAGACAAAATTAATTACCTGTTGATATGCTTATTTTGGCTAAGATCAAACTATTAAAACGCGCAATTAAAAATACCAAACCAAAGAAGGAAGTAAATTCTGGCGGATTAGTATAACTATGCAATATATGTACCCGAAATCACTTGAATTACGAGTATAAACGACATAATTGTTCAATATTTACTTCAAGGTTTAATCTAGTTCTACTGTAGTAATTTTCAAAATAGCTCAAGCAGTGCATGTCTGATATAAATCATGGCTAAACATTACATGCTGATGCATTTCCTGAAATCCGCCACAAAGAAAACAATACTTTGACAATTCAAGTGAAATTAGATACTACGATAATGTACTGACTTCATATAGTATTCAAAAACTCATTAATAATTCTCCTGAAAGAGAATTTATATGGCATTTACATAAACTTTAGCTTTGATTTTCTCGGTTTAGACAAAGTTTATTTTAAAAATTACTTCGCCAATGTCAATGAACTTGTATAAGATGAGTCGTTTTTGAAGCTATTTAAAGTACTTGTAGTCGTGTTTTATCACATATAAAACACTCCGCTACGCGTCGTGTTTTATATGTGATAAAACACTCCTACGCGTAGTATACTATATATATATATATATATATATATATATATATATATATATATATAGTACTTAAACATTTGACATTTTGCGAACGTGCATAAATACACGTTTTGCTAGCCTGAGTAGCGAGCTTGGCGTGGGAGGGGAGAGAGAGAGATGGACTTCGTATGATATCAAATCATAAAAAAACCGAAGTTTATGAAAATCTACTCTAAAAGTAAATTTGCAACTCTTTGTCCTTCTTCAATCGGGTCTGACTTTATTTTTTAAGTCGAAAAAATCCTACTGGTTTTATTTTCGATCACCACCTCGTGTGGGACAACCAAATTGACAAAATCTACAAAAGAATAAGTTTGTAGAAAAAAAAACAAAAACGAGATTCTAGTAATTACGGAACAACTCAGACAGTATTTTCAATAAGATACAAAAGAATAGTAACTTCACGAATAACATTATGACTACAATCTAGTCGAAACGTCGATTATACAAAATCTGGCAAAATATTATTCGGAGTTACCGTTCTTTTGTAAGATTCTATTTGTTCAAACGTGTTTGTGAAGCTTTCCCATTATTTCCAGTATTATGTTTTATTTTGCGCGCATCTATTCTCATTTCTTATATTGTGTTTGATTAAATATTAACTATTAAATTGTGTCCACGCGATCAGTACTAGCTTTTTCGCAAGTTAAATAAATGAATGTCAATTCACAATTTTGTGAAATTCCGCAAATTCTACTTATAGTCGAAGGCTTACGTGACGAAGACCCCAAAGGTAAAGACCTGCGTAATCTAGTTTAATTTTGCCCGTGGTACGCATGATGTATAAGCACTCAAATAGCCAGCACCAATGCCAGCATCAACGGTTCCTAAAGTTAGCACGACGTTTGCAAAACAAAGCTATTATAATTTTATAGTGATGTACCAAAATTCGTACAAAAGGAATCTTATAATATAGTGTTTTTTTTTCTTGATCTCAACAATCACGCTTGGCCTTGCTCTATCGAGTTAAGATCATAGTAATACGATTATATACTTGTACATATTTAGTTTTTTCCCTTTTGTCATTCATTTCAGAAAAAAAAAACATGCAAAAATATTTTAATTAGTGAAGGCCATTAGATAGACCTGTTTACCCTTTGTAAATATTGTTTAATAATAATAATGATTATAATTATTTTTTGCTCCTCCTTTTTTCCGCTCACTTTCTGACCCCTTATATTTTTCTGCTTTGTGTTCTTCAGGCCAGCACGATTATCACCGGCAAACTTTAGATTTATTGTTGAATTTCTATCTAATGTTTTTCTAAGGATCAGCCAAGTGACTGACTGATCCAAATACTCGACGACCGTGGTGCACCGTGGGGAAAAAGTATAGGGAAAATTTTTAGTCTTCAATACCAATATAAATCATTTAGTAAATCCAATTACTCCAAGCATGGGATCCGGAAGTTCCGGAACCCTTCCAGAGTGAAATTTAGGGTCCAGTTCTAAATAATTAGCCGCATATCCTGACCAAAAACAATGTAAGGTAAAAATTACGATCCGCAGTTTTGAAAGACTGTATATAATTAGTTGATTGGGATGCATGCACTTTCATAGTTCGGTGAATTTAAACTTGATTGAGCGTTTGAAGTTTGTGGCCAGGTAGCCAGGTATTAATCAGACATATTTTTGCTCGCTCGTGTGTTACAAGTAAATAATTTAATCACTAAAGACATTACATTCATGACCCAACGCTTTGACACTCGTCTAATATCTGCATCGGCGTTGATCTAAAGTAGCAACATGCCTTTAACTCAAAAAGGTGACGATGCTTTTGTCGGAGATAGTTATCGTTATCCCTTTATTCAAAGCAGTGGGTGGTAAAGGTGGGTGTAAGGGTTCGAATCCGCACCTTCCACAAGAGTAGAGTAGAGTTTAGCCATTTGACTAAATTTTACCATGTGTAAAATGTGTAAGTTTAATTTTCTATATTGGATATTTCATGCGTTTCTACCTTGTTTTTACGTTTTCGAAATTGATTAAATCAAGATAGGAATGTCAGCCACGTTCGTCAAGAAAAAATTACGTGTATGGAGGATAGTGATCAGTGAGAAAATAGATAGCCGATAAAATGGTACTCCGCTGTCGTGCCACAGGAAATGTTGGCAGAGTCTAGCTGTGCTCCGTAGTCAGGCATGAGTCATAAGATGGTCCCGTTTACACTTGCAATTTTGCTGCGATTTCTAGTGCGATTTTCTCCTTCTGATGCATGTGAACGAGTAGATGAGTAGATGTTCTGAGAACAAGTACCCTCCAGTGAACTCTATGGTACCCTCATCTGAACATTGATAATTTATCCACTCTTTCACATCCATCAGAAGAAGCAAATCGCACTTAAAACCGCAACAAAATTTGCAAGTGTAAACGGGCCTTAAAGGGCACCTTGGGCAACCATCTGATGACTCATGGCTGACTACGGAGCACAGCTAGACTCTACCAAAATTTCTTTCCTTTCCTTTCCGGAGTACCATTTTATCACTATCTATTTTGTAGAAAGCCTTCGACTGAGTCAGATTGAGCTGCGTCCTTCGCAATTGAGCTTAGCTCTCAGATGCAGCCACATGCACTTGCTATTGATGTTTTATCGCAGCACTCGTGATATTCTAAGAAATTACCAAATTGCACAGTGACTATATCCTAGGCCTAGCGATGGCGTATTAGGGTGAATCCTTAGTTATAAATGAACCTTAAATCTCCACGTCGTCTTCATTTATTATCTAGATAAAACGACTGCATTCAGGACATCCAAGAGATGATATGGCGGCAGACAGACAAAGTTTACTATTTGATGAACCAAAGCCCCAGAAACGCGGTGCAAATCGACTGTCAGTGCAGATACCTGCGCCGGGTGAAAGTCGTGCTTCTGTAAGCAGTCCAACGAGACGAAATGCTAAGACAATCAACAGAAGATCAACTTGGTTTGGAAAGGCGTTTGATGCAATTGGAAATGATGGAGTAATTGATAGACTGCTGTTTATTAAAGCAACCCATGATATTGAGGTAAAGACTTTACTTTTATTTTAGAACCAAGAGATGAAGATGTGTATAGTTCCAGGGTCAAACTCGAAAGGACTTTGAAGTGATAGTCAAAAACCCTGCAGAAACTGTGAAAATTTAGTCGCCTCTGCAAACATCTCTATAAGGGTCAATGCAATGAGATTGTGATTCCTGGAAAATTTTCCCAGGATCCCGCAAAGCAGAGTCTCTGCCACTCACGCATGTAGAGGTATTGTTTAAATTAAATGCAAAATATTTCCAGGCAAGGATCAATACATCCAAGTGCCCAACGCAAGAATAGCGCATTTGCAGGTGCAACATTGAGCATAAGTCATTCAATTAGACATTTGTCATTATTGTCAAAACATTTCTTCTTAAAAGGTCTGCAGAGTGAATGACATAAAGTTATTGGCAATTTCAATGCCATATAGAAGTCAATGCCATATAGAAGTGCGATTTAGCATTTGTTAAACAAACAATTTCTTCATAGAGAAGATGTCTTGTAGCATGTAAACTACTATAGCGAGACGATTGGGAAAACGTCCACCCTGACACTGTCAACAACAATTTCATTTTTGTCAAAACTTGTGACATTTGTCATCACGTTTCTTACCTCGCGTCTAATATTGATCATTCTTTTATTCCAGGACTTCGTTCAAAATTTGTTCGAACTTTTTGACACAGAAAATCGTGGTTATATAAGTATCCAGGAATTAATTGGAGGACTTCGACTACTTATGCGGTAAGAAAATTTAAATTTTGTCATGATCATGCTTTACCGATTGAGCTCTGCTGAAGGTCACTGGCTGAGGTCAACGATAGGTCTTGCGCAGGACCGTACGCAGGATTTTTTCCACCAGGGGGGCAATAAGGCCTATATGCCGAAAACAGTCCCAAATATCCAAAAAATAATTAATAATGACATTCTAAAAATGGTAAATATAGTTTTCTCTGGGGGGGGGGGGCAGTTGCCCCCTTGCTGTGTACGGCCCTGGTCTTGCGCACGTACTGTTAATTTGTTGAGTTCATTTAACTCTCGCAGAATTGAATTATTAATTTGTACCAAATTCAATTCAAACGTGCTGAGTCATACTATAGTTAAGACTGTAGGTTCAAAAAACATCTGGAAATTAGCAGTGTATCAATTGAAACTACCCAAGCCTGCCAAATGTATTGGTCATTTGGAGATTAAATGCAAATTGTAAAGTGAATGCGCGCAAAGCATTACCCTGAGACTCATTCTTTAATAATGTGGCTGGAACCAAGGGTTAAAAATGGAAGGAGAACCTAAAAATTAGCAGTCTGGCCATATTTGGACAAATGAAGTATGAATACTAATCGTTCAAATATTGGGTCATAATTATTAAAATCTATCGTTTTGAGGGATACACGATACCAAAATCTCCAAACTCATGTAGTGATTCTCAGAATTTTTGAAACCTCAGTATTCGTGTTGTACTTATTTTAGCAGCTATTTTTGAGGGGTTCTTCCCAGTGATCAACGTTCGCTAACAACGTTCGTGCAGCAGAGTGTGGCCAACATATCGATGGTGATGATGATGATAAACTTTATTTAACCACGCTAACATTGTCAGCTATTAAAAGCTGGTTTCCACAATGGGCGTGGAAAACAAGAAATTATTACAAGTTTAAAAAAAGTAAAGAATGAGCATGCAAATATAAAATTCTAAATAGATACATCATTTACAGAAATTATGTGTTTTAAGAGCGATGGGTAGCGATTTTCCTTTCAAAACTTGATAGCATTCTGCTTTCTCTTACATATTTATTTTTTTTCTGATAAAGAGTTCCCTATGGAGGCACCATTATCACTATCAGCGTATAAAAATCTTTTAGTTGTATCTCACTGTATATTGGTGAATTATTTGACGGTCGAAACAAAGAAGTTAGAGTGAAAGTAGTTTAATTCTTGTTCATATCAGTGCAAACATTTTAGAGGTTGCCAGAGCACCATCTGCTATACCCTCCTGTAGACCTCTGCCACAGAATAAGAAGCTATAGCAGAAGCGTAACTCTAGTCGGTTCCCTTATTGTTTTACGTCCACGAAAATTTTAACTTGCTCACGCCATCCTGGCTAATACAACCGGAAGTTTTTATCAGGTTTTGGTAGGTACAAAGTGCCGGTTGTACTAGCCAGGATGGCGTGATTGATGACGAATCGCTTGTAAAAACGCGGACAAATACTTGCTTGAGTGAGACTTCTGGTATGCCTTCCTATTCTGTGCCTCTGCCAAGGACGCACATTAGTGACATTAAGCATGTAGGACGGGAACGCAACGGCGACGTCAAATAAACTCGTTGAACCAAATGATTGCAGAAGAAAACTTGTCATGTATTATCCATCGTATAAAAATAATACAGTTTAAAGATCAAGATTTAACACAGGATTTATGATTGAGAAAGTTCTAAGACCCAATTTAAAATAGCAGCTGTCCCAGCTTGAAATGTAAGCGTTGACAGGAAATGAAATTTGCGTTGCATGAAATGTAAACGTTGACTTTAATAGGGGCGGACCATTAGAAAAGTGATGTGGGGCAAAAGCAAAAATAAAAATCGAGCAGGAGAAACAGAAAAAAAATTCGTGCACCAGAAAAGTATAAGAAAAAAATTCGTGCAGAGACTTTTCAATAGGGAAAATTATAAGTTGACAGGGCCTATCAGAGGTACAGTGTAAGGGTGGCCCCCAAATTTGGAAAATAAAAGAAAAATAATTTGGTACGTTTTCTGATATAAGTATTGGTGTGAGAAAAAATTTTCTAAACCTAAATGTAGCAGATATTGGTCCCCGCTCGCCAACAATTTTTGGGAAAAAATAAAATTCGGGCAAGAGATTATTAAAAAAAAATAATCGACACAAGCAAAAAATTTTGAAAAAATAATCGTACACGTTGGAAATGGACTCCCCCCCCCCCCATCACTTTTCCAATGGTCCGTCCCTTAGGTCAGGAGGCAGATCATTAATGAGGTATGGACTAATAGCGGCTGCTCAAGCGCCATTTGTAAGCTCAAAATCTACCTCGGTCTGCTTGACGTCAGTCCGGTTCTATCTATCTATTCACAATGTAACCAGTCACTGAAAAGCCCTGATACGGAGTGTGCTGTGAATTATCTGTATCTGTATACAAGACGTGATAATCTGTATTTTGCCGTTGTAAAACAGAGCTACGGCGACGTCTAAAACGTCCGTGAGATTTTAATTATTATTTCTGCTCATTTTCTTGCATTAATATGATATTATTAGCTGTTCTCGTTGCACTTTTGTTCTGCTGTGTTGAAGTTCTTAATAACGGTGGTTTTTCATAATTATAAAAGTGTAAAATTTAAGGCGGTTTCTTGACACTAGGGGGGGAACTGTTTCCTCTCAGTTCGAAAAAACAAAAGGACGGGGGTGTTTTCTTTCAGTTGTTTCAAAAGTCAGTTCCCATTTTCCGTCTAGTCCACACGTCACAAATACCTGTTGTAGAGAACAATTAGAAAGTCGGTCCCAGATCGTCCCAACCCCATCAGTAATTTGTTGAATGTGTACTCCTGCCCTCTGCAATATATCAAAGCAGCTGATAAACTAGCGCAGGTTGGCATTCCAGGGCTTTCTGCCTTTAAATACTTACATGCAGTGCATGTTCACCAGCATGCAAAATAAACAGCACAAAAAAAATTGTTTCCTTCAGAGAAAGCGGCAAGGCAAATGGCGAGAAGACCCTCCAATGGTTTACAAATTATTTCACGAAGAATTATTGCTGTGAAACATGTGAAATACGATTAAGAGATTTTAAACAGGCATTTGAGAATAAAACGGTAAGCCAGAACTTTTTGAGTATTCAACTGTACAAACAGGGACGCCGGAACTGGGGGGGCAGGAGGGGCAGCTGCCCCTCTTGCCTTTTGCTAAGGGAGGCAAGGGGGGCAGAAGTGCCCTTTTAGTTGTAAATACTACCTGATAAATCACATTTCCAGTGATGCTTTTTCGGGCAAAATCATGAGATTCAGGTAATTTATAGGCCCAGAGAAAGTTAATTTACAAAAATAAGTGTGAATTTGGAAAAGAATGAGGTTAATTTACAAAAATTTTAGAAAATTTTTGGATTTTAGAAAAAAATTTTGGATAAATGGAGAAAATTGCTGATGTCCGGAAAAGTTTTTTTACGTCACGAATAATTTTGGTATGTCCGGAAAAAATTTTTGACCCCTAAAATGGTACACTGACCGAAATTTTTTTGGCTCCACTATACCGCGTTTGATAAATCCGGTTAACTAATTGGTGCGTATACTAAGTCATTGAGAGGTAGTGGAAATCAACTCTGAACCTCTCTAATCATGCCGCAAAAAAGTTCACGTCCAGGACAGTACGTGCGGAAGGGTCTTAATGTATACATCAAATTGTTTTGTGTATATATTGATAGTTAAAGGATTAGTGTCACACCGGCAATTCGCAGACTCAAACTCCTGCTGGCGGCCATTTTTCGGGACGAATAGATTAGATGATCTGGAAAGTTTTTACAATCCGTCACATATTTAAACCATCCTTTTATAATCCTTGCTCTTTTTGTCTGATTTTTGTCAGAAATGTACCAAACAAGGTATTTTTATTGCTATTTGTGGTATTTGAGTAAAATGTAAACAATACTACAAAAGCCCGCAATGCATGACCCTGACACTAATCCTTTAATACAGTACATTTTAAGAATTCAAATGGCGTTTTAAAAACTAAATAAAACTATTTATTCTCAAGCCATATTGTGTTTCTAAAAAACATCCTTTTTCCAGTTGGAAGTTAAAGAATTTGCGGAATTTTCAGTTTAGTCATTTTGTCTACTCTTTTAACACGCCCTGTAGTATTGCAGTTACTTTATTGTATAGTATGGTTTCCAGTGCATTTTGAAATTGATCAAACACGAGTGTCTGACTGAGTAGTTCCAAGTCTAAACAACTAAATGAAGGCTAGCAAACGCCACTATATAGTCTTGGAAAAACTCACACGCTTACCACACTTTCCTGCCTATCTCAATTACATTCTTACCTAATTTTGGTCTACTTTTCAGTTCACAGAGAAATTGTTTGGCCTTCTTGATCGTAACTCTGATGGAGTGATCGATATCAATGAATTCATTGGAAGTCTTGATCGACTGGAATGGTATTATAAATAATTATATATGTTTATAGTATTAGTATGATACACGATCTCCAGTAGTATTAAAACTGATCCTACACGTTCATATCTTTAGTGCAACAACCGATTTAAAATGGTTTGAATGGATTGAAGAGCATTTTAATGTCGCTTCACTGCAAGGTCGCAAGATAACCTTTGAACAATTTAAAGAAACTTTACAACTCGAACAGGTATCAAATAGCTATATATATTGCCTTTGGTATGAGGAGAACTAAAAACTCCACACGCTTGTAGCGTTAGTATTTTCCATTATGTGTGTTTAAAAATATTAGAGGGGTTAACATCAACGGTTATCGCAGACCGCTAACAGGAAACTTCAAATCGCATTTGAAAGTAGGTTTTCGAAGGTTTCGACAAGTTTCCTAACTTCGAACAGCTAACATCATCTCAACATATACGGCATAAACTTTGCCTTTTCCAGTTTATATAGCGATCTGCGGTAAACTCAGTCTTAATCTATCTATTATTTGAATGACACGTAATTATTGGTACTGCTAATAAAGCTAGTGTTCATAATTATATCGGTCCTCCATGCCTTTCCTGTATTCTGCATTGACCCATGTTAGCCCATATAAGCTAATCCATGCACTCATTGGATTTCGGATTCATGCACTCCTTGGATTCCAGATTACACTTCTTGGATTCCGGATTCCGCTCCTTGGATTCCGGATTCCGCTCCTTGGATTCCGGATTCCACGACTTGGATTCCAGATTCCAGATCGGTTGTGGATTCTGGATTCCAGAAACTTGGCCCAGGATAAGGATTCCGGATTCCTCCGTCTCCGATGTTTGGATTTTGGATCCGCTGTCTGGATTCCGGATTGCAAAGCTATTAAAAGTCGGATTCTGGATTCCTGGATTACCTTACATGGGACGATCTGCATAAGGTTGAATCATATACCATGCTACATGCTTTGATTATGCAATTGCACTTTGGCAACTCGTTATTCAGTAAATGTAATAAAAAGAGAATTGACATGAGTATATGATGTCCTTGTTTCATGACTGCATGACAGATTTTGAGATTCTAAAACGATATATGAACTTGTATTTATCATTTATCAGTAATTATAGAGAAATACTTTTCTCCTCAACAAACTTAATTTTCAGTGTAAGTTTAATTAATTACTATTTTAACTTCAACCAATCTAGTCATATAGAACTATGAGAGATAAATACTGAACTACTATTAAAGGAATACCGAATGGTTTTCCGTGCAGGATTGCGTGATCCATGCACGTGGGATGTTTCGAGACTTTCGGAAAGCGTAAAAAAGCTCAAGTCGCCAGGCGAAAAAAACATTCGGTAATTGTTTTGTAAAATAACTACAGTGAAACAATGATCAAGTTAATTCACTCTCTGTAGTTATTGTAAACCTTTGTTCACTGTTTTGGTGAATTTGCCGCTCGTTTAATATACTTTTATTGTTTATTTCACGCATTGAAATGTTTTCGTTGTACGACATTTTGAAAACCCCGCGGAAGACATTTAAATTTTCCGCGCAGCTAGGATTGTCTCATTTTGCACTTCCGTGCAGGTATATAAAGACAATTATAGGCTACTGATCAGAATTTTAATTTCTATTTAATTGCACTGAATTTTAACCATGTGCAGGCATTGTAGTTCCTCTTCGATAAATGTTTAATTCTATTCCTTTCATCGTTGCAGGTATTTTTCGCTAAAAGATTTTTTACGCTATTTGATAAAAATGGAGATGGTAAAATCGATATGAAGGAGCTTATTGAAGGTTTGGAACTCTTGAAGAATGGAACAGTTGCAGATAAACTTACATTTTTATTCCGCGTCTACGACTTGGATGGTAAATATGTTATGTCAAATTATCTGATAGATTATTAAAGGTTACCCTCTATACAACTTTTCGAAAATGATGAAAAAGTACAAATTGAATAATTTAAGTGTGGACATATCCATTTGTTCCAATATATGATGGACAATGACTGAAATAAGAAAATTCGAACATTCGACGCTGAATTTCAAATTAAAATTCCCTAACAATTTTCATATCTTCATTTATTTACTAGTAATAGACAATTAATCTGTAATAAGAATGAGCAATATTTGTTGAAAAATTTACAGTTGTCGTCTGTTGCTACTAACAATGTTTATTTCAATAAGAAAATGGATCATCCAGTTATACTAAGCGAAACTGAAACGTCATGATTGATTTCGCAACCTTAAAATTGCTTTCCAGCCGTACGGGACATTTAATGGAAACTCGGAAACGCCCAAGTTCCGCCGTCTCATTAAGATTTGAAATTTTCGGTGCGGGTATTCAACGCGATTGATATAGGAGGCAACTCTTCATGTAAACCATTTACCTGAAGAGTTTGTGTATTTATATCATGTATATAAATAGAAAAATCCATTACATAACCCTGGAAAGCAGCTCTTAAGTGAGAGCTTTTTTGTGCAAAACTGCATGTCTGTGTCTGCATGATAATCTTAAATGACTTAAAAGTAAATACGTACATTATTTTGTTTTAAATACTAATGATAATAAACTACTAAATGTACATCTAACTTTATTATTTAGGAAATGGTTATCTAAATCGCGAAGAAATGAAAACAATACTTCTCTCAGGTCTTGAGGAAAGTAAACTGAGATTGAATGATCAACAAGTAGACGAACTAATGGAAGTATTTTTCGAAGAAATAAATTCAAAACATGAAGGTCTCATTGGGCTAGAAGAATTTAAAGACTTTCTTTTAAAATATCCTGGAGTAGCTGAGAATTTATCTGTCAGGTAAAACTATGCAAAAAAGTCCTTGGTACGGCTGTTGTACAATTGATACATTTATCAGTACCGCAAATTAAAAATTAACTCTTTTACGATTTCAACTCAACATGCAGCATTACAGAACTGCTACTGCGTCACTCCCAATCATTTATACAGTAAATTCCAAGAAATTAAAAATGTTTTTAATCGAAATAATTTATTTTGAAAAAATGCTAACAATCTCCTAAATAAACGTAATTTATTCATAACCAGTCATAGCAAGTGCGTTCTTATAAGTTCTACTTACATTGGAAAAGATAAAAAATATAGATTTTAATTATGAAAATCAAGATTAAGATATCACAATTTACATTTTAAAAATCTGAATTTACGAAAATATTACCGAAACATGTAACAAATTACGGTACATTAATTCGAAAGTTACTGTACAATGGTAATTCTGGAAATTTTTTAACTTCTTGTGTGATTTACGTAAACTTCGTTAATCCTATAAGAAGAAAATCCAACTGCGATTTGAAGATAACTGGTGCGCATGACGACAAATTTACATAAGTTCGTAGCAACGTACTTGCTACGAAGAACTCTTGTTGGAAATTCGTCTTGTTGGAACAAGTTGTAGCAAGCCTGCATGTTACCGTCATCAATCCTGTAACAAGGTGATAACAACTTCTACACTGGGACTAAGCAGTGCGATCACATTCTGATATTGGCTTGACAACAACTTTGTTACAACATGTTTGCAGATCTGTAAAGATGAATTAATAGGAGCAACAAAATTGCTGCAACCTGCAACAAAACCTGATTTCCATGCATGTTAAATAGAATTGTTCACAGATAAGTGACCAAATATAAGAAAACCTTTGTTAATAATTAACAAGCATCGGAATCAATATGTTGCAAGTTGTAGCAATTTTATTGCTCGTATTAAGTTCTAATCGATCCCTGCATGGTGCTTATAGAACTATAATGAAACAGTTTATTATACTTTATTACCTCAACTCGGGTTCTCTCCATGGTACTCTTAGACATTTAAAGACGTTACTTCAAAATTACTTTAGATATAGAATGAGCCAATGTATAAAGAGTTAATCTTATGCAGGTAAATTCAATTTGGCGAAAAGCGGACCAGTATGCTCATATAAAAATTTGGCAGTAGTAATGCTTTACGCCTTAAAGGAAATCACTGGGCGTTAATGAGCAAAATCAAGACAACCTGGCAATTATTTGTTAATTTTCTTAATTTAGTGTTGGCCAATTGCTACAACCACCAGCAGCAAAACGAAAGAATCCACTATCTCATTTCATTCCAAAACGTTTACGTTGGGAGTACATTCATCAGAATCCATCCAAAGTGGCAGCTGTTACATTCTATTTCTTGTTGAATGCTGCGTTATTTATCTGGGTTGCTTTTCAAAGAAGAAAGGAAGGTGCCTGGATTATTATTGCTCGGACACACGGAATGTGTTTAAACTTCAATAGCGTATTTATTTTAGTGTTAATGTTAAAGAGTTCTCTCACATGGTTACGTTCGACATGGATTGGAAAGTATCTTCCTATCGATCAACATATTCAATATCATAAAGCTGTTGCTGTGATTATTTTTATTTTATCCATTCTCCACGGTGTCGGACATCTTGGGAGACACGGTAAGTTGTAACGTTTAGGAATATCTTATTGGGATGCATGACATCCAGAATTTGGGTGTTTTCGCCACCACCACACCACATATATAGGTACTTGAGTTGAAAGTCAAAGATTTTGTTGGGCTACTCATCCCCAAACTTACCCCTGTCCCGAAAACAATTCGGTACGCCAGAGTGGTATATTAAAAATACAGTATTGACATCGAAAAGTAATTTTTGAGTTCCTTGCTCGTAGTTAGATATTGATGTATTCATCTAACTATATTTTCTTGTGGAATACACCTTTAATGCTTTGTTCTCAAATCTCGAATAACCCTCTCCAGTTTGCATTGCCTTATTGAGTATTTTCAAGTGTATCTAAACGAAAGAAGCAACAAATTTCTTATTAATTATTGTTCTTTACCACGTCCGCATATTTCCTCTTACAGCGACAATGGATCGAGACACCCAAAATTCGACAAATTATAAATTTTGGGAATATATGTTCACGTTGAGAACTCCTGAAGGTTGGGTTGGTGGTTCGGCTGGAATTACTGGAATTTTACTTTTCATTATTCTTGGAATTATATTTCTATTATCTCAACCATTTGTCAGAGAGAAGGGTTATTTCGAGGTATGTTGATCGACTTGCAAGTTAAATATTTTATACATTTTACCTGTCGTGTATTATATTACGGTGGCATAGTAGATAGTGCATAAATCTTCCACCTCTGTGATCGACGATTGTCAAAATATGCAGTATCGTGGTTGAAAAATTCAGTCCAATTAATGTCCAGTGCAAAAACACCCAAAGAATTCTTTGCTCACTTACCTTAAAAATGCAACTATTTCTTTCAGTTGTTTTACTTTTCACATCATTTATACGTTGTATGGTGGGCGTTATTAATTATTCATGCTCCAAACTTTTGGAAATGGTTTTTTGGTCCAGCAGTTATTTACCTATGTGAAAGATTATGGAGTTTAAGAATTGTGAACAGAGCTCGTTATGGAAAGACATTTATACAAGAAGGAATTACATATCCTTCGAAGGTAACACATGTTTTAGTAAAGTTTCTATCTTACGAATAGATCATTTGCTATATGCAAATCTTTGTACCTTGTCTCTTCCTTGGTATCAAAAAATCATTCATTACTCGACCAAACTTTTACCTTAGTTGCGTTGCTGCGAAGTAAAATCTTTTTGCCCCGATGAAAAAATTTACTATCCCTAGGAAAAAATTACTCAGTACTCAAAGCGTAGCCGTGCATGTTAATTAAGCCAGGTATCAATTCCCTGTTGGGATATTCAAATGTTTTTGAGCAAGTGTATCACTTCATTAATTCTGAACATCATGAGTTATTTATTTTCATCGAATACAATAACAGACAATATTTAAGAATTTAAGAATTGAAACCAAATATATTAAATATTGGCTACACAAGTTGATTGTTTGTATTAATTTTAGGGTTTCTCAAACATATAGTTCGACTTGCTCGTGTGATTTTGTTAGTACGTTTAGTGCATTTTAATTTTCCCATATTTTTACCATTTTTTTACAACCCATGTAGGTGACCCACTTGGTAATCAAAAGGCCTCCAAACTTTCACTACAAACCTGGCGACTATGTACTGGTTAATATTCCCAAGATTGCAAAGTACGAATGGCATCCGTTTACGATCAGTAGTTCACCAGAACAATCCAGTAACATTTGGCTTCATATTCGCGCGGTTGGAACATGGACTAAGAAATTATATGATCAGTTCGAAGAGGAAGAAAAAGAAGAATGTAAGAGAAGATCATTAAAAAGGACAGCAATAAGAAGACAGAAGACATTCAAAGCAAGAGAATGTGAAAGGTAAAAATGGTGAAAAGCAAGACGCATTATATTAATTTCAGTGTCGGTGATAAAAATGATCTTCCTGGGAACTTGTTTACCCTGTTTTATGGTACAAACTTTCCTGTAATCAGTCTGTAAATTACCACAGCTTTTCGTTACCTCACGACAGAACAATGAATGTATATTTGTAGTGTAGTCTTGATTTATATTGTTATAATAACTTGTTCAACGGTCATTTTACCTTAGATTATGTAACCTGATTTGATTTCATTCGCAAAGCATCAGATCATTTCAAGTTTCAAATCATATGTATAATGTACTCATCTGATTAATCAACAGCAATTTAGAGCACTAAAGTTTTACCTAAATATTTCTGCAGAAGTAGTGAAAGTTCAAAAAATCTGCGATCCAAGTTCCCGGGCTTAAAGTTACTTTTTTCCTCCCGTGACTAGATCATGAATGCAAGATAAGAGATGTTGCAACTTAATTACGCGGTTATCACATCTAACTATCTATAAAATTTGTGGACATGTTTATTGACTGATCTATATAGAGATGATGAACTATCAATTCGTGAACAAAGAGCCAGAAGTATCCGACGTAAAAGACTAGGAATAATTGATGAAAATGATGATGATGATGAAAATAATGAATTACGTGAAGTTGTATTTGAAGCTAAAGCTGGTTCATTGAGCAGAAGTGTAAGGAAGAAAATTAATAAAAAAGAAGAAGTAGAATTGGTCAACTTTTCCAATGAAAAACGGGATAGTGTGACAAGTGAAAGCAAGTTGCTGGTAAGAATCTTCACTCTACAAACAATCTAGTTAAAATTTACTGGTTAACCTAAAAATAAACCTATGCTGGTTAACTTAGCTAGGGCCCTCTGGCTATAGTTATCCACCACAGCTAACTTAGTCTGGTTAATTTAACCAAAACGTCCTGGTCTAGGTTAAGATAACCAGGGAAAATGTTAAAATAACCAGGAAAATTAATAATAATAAAAATAAAATCTTTATTTATACTGATAAAAAACCGTTCAGTCAATTATAAATTGGCTGGTAACAATCCGTGATCAGTGTAACAAGTATGTATACAATAACATAACATATAAGTGCATGACAGTGCATGAATAAGGATATATATAATGTAAAATGTCCATAATTAAAATGTACAATTGTGCGTAACAGCATCCATGTTCATCAAGTATTTAAACACTTCATTCTTGAACCGCACAAGTGTTTTTAGTTCTCGTATTTCTTTCAGTGGAGAATTCCAAGAAATATTAATTAGGGGACCGTTTATTTTTATCAGGAGGGGAGGGCTGGTGGTTTTTGCATGGGGGCCACCAGGAAATATAGCGATATGAGAGGGGGTCACCTCAGCAAAATTAAATTTTGAGGGGGCAACCAAAACATTAATGAATACATAATATATAAAAATCAAAGCAATAAACGTTCGTACTCTTTCATTTATAAAAACTCAAAGTTGGCAAAGTAAAGTTTTAGTACATGCATGTAGTCAATTTAAATTTAAAGTACGCATGTAACAATTAGGAAATTTACATGTTTGTGATATTCAGTGCATTTTAAAACGTAGTTTATTTTCTTAGAAAAAAACTTCATCTTCATGGCTGTTTAATATTAAAAGCTACTGGAAGTGACATTGAGTATTACAATCAAACCGGATGTTCTGTTCCCATGAGTATTTTAACATTGCAATCAGTCAGAGCCGTGCATAGCGGGGGGGCAAGGGGGGCAAGGATTTTTAGAATGTCATTATTAATTATTTATTTGTATATTTGAGACTTTTTTCGGCATATAGGCCTTACTGCCCCCCCCCCACGACCTAGTAAGGTCATGGGCATGTTGTAATTATTTTGAGTATTTACTATTTTATCTTCGTATCAAACTAAAATATAGCATACCGATCCGCCAGTTTGGGAACATATGTTTACATATTTTTAATAACTAATAATTAAAAATAATTTATCATTACTTAGTGGTAGAAAAAAGTAACAATTTAAATCGATTTTCGGTTAAACAAGGACAAAGGATAAAGCCTAAAACTTACTTTCCGTTTATATATTTCTTAATCTTCGCTGGTTTGTTTGTATAATTTTAGGGAAAAGGGACTTTTCTTGGGGGGGGGGGCAAAATGTGAATTCGTGGTGGGGCACAAGGGGGGACTGGGGGCATTTGCCCCCCCCCCCAGCTTGTATGTTAAAAAAGGCCTGCTAGGTATTGAAACAATATCATGTTATTACAAAAATATAACTAACGATGTGTCGTTTATCAATCTCCATTTACTGTGTAAGAAACAAAATAGAAACGACATCGTCAACGTAATCAGGCTTATTAAAATAAGATTCCTATAGCAACCCAGTGTGGATTGTTGTCTGCATATTTTATAGCAATGAGCTCATTCTAGATGTTTATAGCAATGTGCACTCACTGATCTATTCGTCAATGATGTCTTAATTATAATACAACGAGTAAAAATCCACACTTATTGATAACATTTTTACAAACAATATTCAACAAGTTGACACAAGCATAAATGGAATGATCTTTAGTGATATTTCAGATCACTTACCTGTAGTTCATATGTGCACTACAAATACAACTTATAATACAAACAATGATAACATCAGTGGTAGCTATTACAAAAGAATGATCAATAACAATAACATAAGCCTATTCACAGAATCATTAAAGGAATTAACATGGGATAGTGTAACAATTGAAAGTGATCCCATACAATGTTTTAAAAAATTTTCTGAAATATTTTCAGAAAATTATGAATCAAATTTTCCACTCAAAAAAGTATCAAATAAAAAAGCTGTTAACAAAGTTAAAAGTCCATGGATGACTAAATGCATACTAAAATCTGTCAGGAAAAAAAATCAACTTTATAAAAAGTATTTACTACATCCAAGCCAAAAAAATGAAAACGTTTATAAAAAATATAAAAACAAACTAAATCATGTTATAAAAATATCCAAAAAGACGTATTACGAGGAACAATTTATTAAACATAAACAAAATACAAAAATGATCTGGAAAACAATTAATGAATTACTTAATAAACCTACTCGAAAGAAGGAATTACCAAAGGAATTTTTATTGAGCAATTCTTC